AACAGGTGCACTAGTTTATTATATTTAAAATTATCCTATTCATTTAATTTGAACTTTTAAGTGGAGTATTCATTTAAAAGCCACAACTGAACAGAAAATAATAAATATTTAGGAGTGCCGTACGGCGCGCGCCGCACGAAACCGTACTAGTGTGAAGACACACGCTTGTCCGGCGCAGCGCCGCGCGGCGGACGCCGTACGGCGCGCGCCGCTTCGTGTGAAAGAGGCGTTGGGATACTTTACATTGATACATACCTATACATATTTATACATATTTTATACATATTATTAACTTCTTGCTGACGACAATTTTTTTTTAATATTTAAGAATGAGATTGAACACCTTCTTAAAAATGAGCACAAGCTTGCCAAAAACTGGGGAAAATATCACAAAACCTTGAAATAGCATGTCCCGTTGAAGTAACTAAATTTATTTCCGTAAGTTAAATTACTTATTTTGTAAAAATTCAATATTACAAACAATTTGATTCAATCAGCAGATAAATTTAAGTTACAATGTGTACACGTATATTTGTTAAAAATTATGCACTTTGATGCGCTTATTGCAATTTGCTGGAACGTGTTGAACGTTTGATAGCAATTTGTCGATATCCATGGTTAATGTAATGAAAAACTTATACACTCAATACAAAAACAAAAATCAACAGTCAGATATAAGCAGGTTGTCTGAAACCAGAATGAACAATTCATTCCGGTAAAAATCTGAGTCAGACTACCTGCGCGCAGAAAATCGGCGCGCAGGTGCACTATGGCCGCTTACGTTTACTAGCATGGGATGATAAGCGCGCCGAGTCTGACTTCATCGGCGCCGACAGTCTGACTCAGAAAACCAGCGTGCATTGTGGACGTACCCTTTGATTGTTATTTCCTCAACAAATTTAGAAAAACTATATATTGAGCAGAGAATTTTGTGTTTAAAATATCTTTTTAAGGTATTTTGAAATGATTAGTAAATAATAAGAGAATATACAATTTGTATTTTAAAATCTTGTGCTATACTGTTTTAAAGTTTTAAATTGAAGATTCAAACTTATTACAGTACCTACTGAAACACAGATTGTCTCTTGCACCACTAATGTACAGTATATCCTTCTGCTGTTTAAATCCATTGACCAGCCTTTATACAATATACCAAAGAAAACAACACTATTTGTAAGAACGAACAAGTTCTTAACAATCTCACCTCTTATCTAGGTGCAAGATTCAAAATGCAATATAAGTTGTGAATGACAACGTCGTACTAACTATATAGACCCTCCCTAGACATCTTAATCAAAGATTTGGTTCATTCAAAAATACTATTCAATATTTCTAATAGCAAGCTTTCGAGTTGTTATAACAATCCTCATAATTTAATTCCTTACAGTATATCCCAATTTGTTTTTATTCAACGAAAATATCCTACACAAATATTAAACACTTAAATCTCCATTAATTTTTCTTTAAATCCTTCTTCCTACTTTTACATTATGTTGAAAATATGATAACAAATAACAAGTGTCAGTTTGAAACTAAAAAGATAGTAATGATAAAATCAATCCACAAAAAGCTGTCCCTGCAACTGCAATACTGTCTAAAAAAGCATAGCGTTTCAAATGGTTTTAAATATCGTCCAGTGAACCAACAAGTTGATAGTTTGCCAATGCCACTTGTAGAGATGTTAATGCATAGTCTCACACTCGGCCTGTGTTTGTATTCAAGTCCCGTTCCTGATTCTCACACTCCTTCCACACTCCACTGATCTCAGGGGTTTGCCCAACTAAAGCATGGAGAATGGAGCACGAACTTGCGTATCACATTTGGGAAGAATCTCTGATGACCATCTTATAATGACCAAAGGCAAGTGGCAACTAATCGAAATCTTAGAGGAGACATTCGCCTTTAAAAAGGGCCATGATAGTAACTAGTTGAAAAACTTTAATCCTTTCAGATTCCTTTAAGCTTTCAGCAATTGTTCAGAAAATACTACGCCCAGCTACCCTCGCTTTCAATAATGGTCCAATCAAAATAAGTGCTTATACCAGTTACAAAACTTCAAAACTCACCCGAGTCCACCTTAACCCTATCTTTTATTGTTGTTTTGAAGGCGTTGAGTTGTTCAAAACACGCTCAGTTGCGTCTTCTGCTTGATAATATTATGGAGAGTCAAAAGTAACCCCATCTAAATATTTTGTTAAAATAATTACTAATCTCTAGAGTGAGTTGAGTTGAATTTCTATAGTGCGCAATCATGATATTGTAACGGGGATTAATGATTGGATTCATTTCCGACCAGTGTTCTATAGCCAGAGCAATTCTATTGAGATCGTGTTTGTAGCACAATAGAATGACACAAGCCCAAGACACAGCAAGTGGTATTGCCAGGGGCAAAGTCGATACGGACCGATAGAGTCCAAGGTGGTCCAATACCCTGGTACTAAAGAGATTGGGATAGAGAATGGGTTAATGGACAGTTCTAACATCTAAGTAGTGACAGTGTCAAAACGTACATCATAATCCAGTCACAGACTCGGCTCAGTACAGTAGAGTTTCAGTCTACAGTAACGGACTGAGACCGAGGCCAAGGTTGTCTGCTAGACTCAAGGTACTGTCAAGTGTAATTTACTGTAACGGCTCTCTTTATCCGTATATCGTCAGCTCCAGATCAAGTTTCCCATCGAGATAGCAATTTACTCTCCCATCTTGATGAGAAGAGAATTATTGCAACCATTGTTAACGTACATCCAGTTGTTGATTGGAAGAGTCGTTAGTGCCAACTTTGATAAAAAATGTATATAGTCTTTAATTCATAACTGAGCCGGAATTCATTCTAAAGGATAGACAACAAAGACAACATCGATGCAATATAAAAATACCTCGGAGACAGTTTCAACATACTTAATCCAATCCGTGTCTGAAGTGGCGAAGACGAATCTGCATACAATAGGTCGGCGTCGCAGCACGCCCAGAGATCGTCACATAACCGTCACAGTGGGAGTGATCGTCGTTAGTTAATAGAAGAAACAATAAGTATTATCAAGAAGTCAGTATTGTCAAGCTGGTCATTACATTTAAACTTTACTCAACAAGTGTTAGGTGAGGAAGGAAACGCGTCAATAGACAGCTAGAGACTTCAACGCGTGGTTTGACTGAAGCTGGTCCTGTTTATTTTTGGAGGCCCATTTAACTGGATGTTTTGTATATTTGTGTTAAGGCAACGTCAAATCAAAATTGCCCCTTCTTGCCCGTTGGTAATATCAATTAAGTTTGATTGAAGAAAAATAATGTCGGGGACTTCGACGATTTGTTTGACTGAATTTTGCCCTTGGAAATCCGACAGTAACAATATTTATTCAAAATAAGGTATTTATGTCGGACACTTAACAATTTTTGTACCTATTGTTTACGATTGGAAACCTACTAACAATAATTTTGATTGCACAAGTTGATATTATACAATAAACTATTGGTTTGACCAAAGAAACTCCCAATTAGGCTACCTTTCGGAATTCAATAACCTTAAATTTGATTGAAAAAAATCTGAGATTACAATGGTTGTTTCGTTAATAATTCTTGTTCATATTTATCCTTTGAAATCTTATCTTCCCTGGAAAAACAACAACCATTTTTGATTCCGTGAACTGAGGTTAGGTGTAATTATGTGGATAACGTGTTGTTTGACAAACACATTATTTGGGCTGTGAAAAATACAATGATCAACTTGAGGAACCAATATAAATATTGATTTTTAGAGAGCACACGAATCGGAGACTATAAAAAGTAAACCAAACAACAACGATGTATACACTTATGTCCCAATAACAAACGATATTTACAGAGATAATGTAGCCACTGGCGGAGATTGCGTTAGATGAATTGACTGAAGTTGTTCACTAAATAGAATGCAAAGAAATACAAACAGTGTCGTGGTATAGTAAATAGTCAACCGATTTGCCAGAGCTCACGCATTATTTTAAATGTCAACAACCACAAAGGCATAGACGTCTAAGTGTCCAACCGACACTGGTTTTTGAAAAAAGTGACTTAAACAGCAAGACTGCTTCTTGTTTCCATATTTAGACTCACCTGATCCCAACTGGCTTTTGTGCCAGGTGCACTGGATTGTCTATTGTCTGGAACTAAAGCCAACTCCAACAACCAATCTCGAAATCCTACTCTACATTAGTAAGATTTTTTTCTAAAAGTCTTTGTAATTACGGGAAAACACCTGTTTGATTAAAATATGTCCTTGTTTGTCACTTTTGTATGCCATAATTGGCCACTTAGCTATTTTTACACCGGAAAACAGTATCTTATGACATACAAAATAGCAAATATATTCCATATTGGGTCAAATGTTTTTACATGCATACATTTTGAAAGTAGACAAAAAGTATTGCTGTATATACATGTTACATGTATATATATGTCATTGTATATTACAATGATATTACTAATGAGAGAAGTGTTGTCATATTAATGACAATTAAAAACCACCAAGTTGAGTTAAGGCATAACTCAATATAAATGGAATTATCCCTGGTAATTTGTAGACAGAGCCAAGATGAAAGTGAACGTTTTAAATTCAGCCACCAACAGAGTGTCCTATTATCGATTAATGATTCATGACACAAAATTCTCAACAAATTAACCGTACTTGTAGGAAACTAAAGAATCTGTCTTGTTTTATCAATTATCAAAGTAGCTAAAACTAAGGGAGGAAATCTAGTTTTGACACTAGCCCACTCTGTTAGCAGTCCAACCTATGAACTGTTTGAATTTAAAAAAATGCTACAGCTTGTCCATATATATGTCTACCCTAGTATCAAAAATATACTTATACCTGGACCATAATAGTTTCCTCAAATGAAAATTGTAACCAAAAAACCTTATTTTTCTCTTTTCAAACAGATCATAACCACGATAGTTTCTAAGTCACAACTGGTGGCATAGAGATATATATAGATAGAGTAGTGTAAGTGAGAGGTAGATAGGCATACCTTGCTATAGCTCCTGCTGGTACGATGGTCCAACAACGACTGGGACCCTAGTGTACCGCTGCCCTCACGGCACCGCCTCCACGCCGCCTCTCGCCGCCCTCAGCTTTCCTTTCCGCAGCTTTCAACACAACACAGCACGCGGCTCCCATGTGATTTACCTGCACTTGTAAACAATACTTGCATTAGTTTGGGTTTTATTTGGTTTATTAGAATCTGTGTGAAATCGTTTGGAGAAACGTCTGTTGTGAAATATGTAATTGTTTGGAGTTTAAAAAAATCACTTGCTATCATACTATTGTGATGCTGTCTTGGTACCTGCCGTGGTTATTACTAATGGTATGGTACTGAATTCGATTTAATTTGGAACCAATTTAAATTGCGTGTTTTCTACAATGACGTGTGAGTTTTTTACGTGCCATCAAAAACAGCAGGAATAAAGTTTGTAGCAGATTGACTAGATTGCCTCCTTAATTAGCAAAAAAACTTATTTCCCCTTCAATTTTCAGTTTTCTGCAATATATGGATGAAATTGCCCCCCCTTACTCTAAATAACCAATGTGATGCATTTTAATAACTTCATGCATTGGTTCCAAAATTTCTAAATAAATCGAATTTTCAATAAACATTTAGAATTAATAGAGTTTGAGAGAAATCCCATTGGCATTTTTATTTTGGTAAATTCGTTTGAATCTATATAAATACTAATTAAATTCATTTTTCTTGCATTAGAGAAAATCGTAAAAAATAGTTCCAATACAACATTATATCGATAATATAGTTCTATATGGTTGAAGGATTCGTAAATGTATTGAACTATTGGACCTTACTGAATCAATTACGTCTTTACACACCATGGTAAATAAACTACCTTTACTTATGTCAATATAAGGGGTGTCCCGGAACTCTCTAGAATATGCAATATAAAATTGTTCCTTATGTCTAGACAAACATAATATACCAGTATAATCATGGTTCTCTGATGATTTTTTTGCATCGGTCGGTCACTCTTGGACAATAATAGTTTCCAATAATAATAATAGTTGGACAATAAATACCCTCCAAATTTGTGGTGGCAGTTTTAAACTATGATAAAAAATTACATGGTAAAATAGAGTAAATATTTCCTTTCTTAAGTAAAAACATTGTACATTTAGGCTGTGTCTTTGTTTGAAATAACACTTATATTTAAAGACCTTAGCAAGCAGTCCTAAATTGTAAACGAAAAAATAACATGGAATTTGTCCACAGTTTTCAAAAACTTTTTTAATAAAACAATTTTCATAAGCTTAACTTTAAAACTTGGGACCAGAGTCTAGGTTGATACAGTTAAGTACGGAATCGTACTTATTTCTCAAATTATATTTTAATTTTTGTTTTTGTACAAATTAATGACACAGAATAAATAATCCAATCACATGGTTGTACTAAATGTTAGAATGTAATTTGTTTGAATGAGCTGTGTGGAAGTGGAATTGTGAAATAAAGTGAATTTGACAGTTCTGATTGTTTACATTTAAATTCCTATGGAAATTTAAAAATTGGGAGTTGTTGATATGGAGACCAATCAATATTTACTTGTAAATGCCTCATCAGAACTTTGAAAGTCCACCGGACAGAGCCCCAAGAGGGAATAGTTCTAAACAAATCGTACTGTAGCTAAATATTTTTGAAATCCAAGCCCAATCGGATCAGTTGTTTTTGCTTTTATCTCGTACGAACAGACACATAGACACCACCTCTTCTTTATATTATAAAAAAACGCTTTGAGATTTAAAAATATCATGTTAAAAGATGTGCATTTAAATTATATTTTTACCTAAATACCTTTGATACTGACATGCTTATGCATGTGTTTGATAACATCTTTAAATGGTGTGCAGTGCCGTGAAGCATTAGAAAAAGTTGCTGATGAAATGTTGAACGAAAGTAAAGAAGTGTTCAAGAAAAGTCCAATATAGAGCCGTTTTTGATTAAACACACTCAATGACTTGCTTATTCAATTTTACAAAAAGTATTGCTACACTTGGTCCATAGGATGCCTATCCAAAGGATAGATCAGGACAAGCTTACATTCTATGGGTGAGTGGAGCATTATCGTGCTCCAGGTAGTTTATAAAGCGATTACAAGGCCACATACCACTGCAGGCTACGATAAACACCAAAACAGGACGAATTTAGGACCAAACCCGCCAAAGGGCAGAGGCGTTCACGCGGGGATCGCGGAAGCCAATCATCGCTAAGCCTTGGAGTGGTCGTGATCCTGTGTCTCAATAAGGACCTTTCCCAACCTCTGGGACAATACTGTACTCGTGCTGGGACAATAGGTTATGATCAACCATAGTATTGGAACATGTTTTAAGGATGTCCTGATGATTTAGAACGTTTGTGTAGCTTCCAAGTAAAGGACAGCTAGAGACTGCAACGCGTGGTTTGACTGAAGCCGATATTATATTTATACAGTATTCGGCTTTGTGAGTAAGTGATGCTTTGATGAAAAATCGTGTCCAATAAATAAAATATGTTGAATAATAATAATACAAGGCTTTAAAACTTCAATGATAACTACATGAAATTTACTACAGATTTCTGGACTATGTCAACGAATAAATTAAAACAAATAAATCCTATCTAGAACATAATAACGTAATATGAGAAACATGTAAAGTATTTCTATGTGTTCCTTTCTTCATAAGTGTAAACACTATTGTCAACAACTTCCATACTAATGATACTTTTAATTTTCTTTTAAAAACCGTGTAAGCTAGGATGGAATAAAATTACTTAGTTACATGGTACGTGTAAATTATTCGATTAAGTTAAATATCAACAATTAAAAGACCAAGTTTGATAGCCCCTGCTCTCACAAGTTAATTAATGTAACACCACTCCATGTACCCGTCCTTACAACGCCCCTGACACGACTATTGTTTTCCTGTAGCACCTTTTGGGGTAACATAATCAGCAGAAGCCAAACCAATCAACATCAACTTGGAAATACAACCATTGATGTCAACTAACAACCATAAACCTTAACCTTCAACAATCGACCATTAACGTCAACTGTCAACCATCAACATCAACCTTTATCGTAAACCGTCAAGTCTGTTTCAACCATGAACTTCAATAATCAACAAACAAACCCATCATATTAAAAATACTAGCTAATTTCATAGTGGGGGAGATCGCCACGCCAAGCCCTGAAAGTTGAAATATTATGAGTTAAAATAACTTGTACTCACCCAACGCACGGTTTTGAAGATGTATGAATAGTTTAACTCTTAATTGATTGTTTAAACAAGTACATGTTAAGCTGTATTTTCACGATGTACCTGTGTGATCAAAAATAGTAAGGATTTATAGGAAGCCAACGTTACTTGTGTACTTAATTTATTCGGTTTATTTTTAATTGATTTTCCATCAATTAGCATATTTAAGCAATGTTAAGGGTGGCTAATTTAGTAACGTAAATTAATGCAATAATATAAATGTATTGGGCCAAATAATGTTTACACAATTCCCTTGATCAATATTTACATCTACGTCAAATCACGAGCTACTTAACATATTTACGTTGCACTGAACGCTTTGAAACTATTAAATGAAAGTGCAAACTATATAATGCATCCGTCAACAATGGTTCGTTAGTTTCTACGTTGACCCATTTTAGTTTCCGTGTTTTCTTCCAACTTCTTGTTTAGGTAGGTATGATAAATACATGCTCTAGTTATGAACACCTTGCTCACAATACAATACCGGTGCTGTGCATACAGCCAACATACCGATTGCACTGAACATTTTTCAAAATGAAAAAGACAAGTATCTTCTAAACACCTGTGTCTCTAATTTAGCGTTATGATTGGAGAATGGAGAAGAGTATATATAATACGTGGTTGGGGATTATTCGATTATTTCCTATCTTTCCTTAAATTTAGGAGTGTTTCCAGTTGGTGACAACCTAAAATAGCTATCAGATATTTTAATACGCCTTCCACTGGATGTTCTTCGAAGAGTTTAGATTTTCAACAGTTCATAAATACATATTTTCATCTGACACTCTTTCCAATCTTGGACTGATCTGGCTGGGAGTGAGGCAAGTGCATTGTCGCTTCTGAGCGACAGTTTTGCATAATCTCTCTCGTCCTTGGCTGCGTTGCTCCTGTCATCGCAAGCAAAACGTGGTGAATTCAATTTGCATGAATCTTGCATCAGTGATGTAAACGTTTGGATGCCTTGTAGGGTTGAAAAGAAAAACGTCAAAGAAGTTGGGACATCTTTATAGTGAATCAGTTTAATGACATAAACTGCATAGTGATACTGAGAAAGGGCTCGACTACGTACAAATAAAAAATAACAGTAGGAGTAAGCACAAAATAGATCGTTCTGTCAAAATTTATTTCTTTATATTTCCCAAGGAGTGCTATTCTTGCAAGATTACAAACGTATTAAGACTTTAAGAAAATACGACAAATATTTTTCCAATGACATGGTGCCATAAGTAACTTCAAGAACTTAATAATTTAATAATGTATACAGGCGTTAAAACCGAACTTTTAAACATTTGCCTAATTTAACTGTGGTCAAATTACGAGGCCAGCTGCTGTGTTAGTTTGATGGCTTATTAAGAAAGCTGAGTGTGATTTTTCTTCGAATATTCTGAGAATGCAGGTCAAGTGCGTTGGAAATTTGTTTTATTAGTCATAAGCGCTAGGAGTATTAAGCAATGGTTTTAGCTCTTTGAGCCGGTTATAAGTGACACAGCATTTAAATCATTTTAATCAACTATACGCATGTTTGATTATTTCTTCAAAATATATGTATGAAATTCAAAGTCATCCCGACGGTCTCATAAACTCATTCATAACTTTTAACTGAATCAGTAGGCTACGTCCTATTTGTAACTTCCACGTCGTTAGTTCCAACATTTATCAACAGCTAATGTTCTGGTTCAGTCTTTTATCTCTAAAGCTAATGTTCAATCTTTTAACAGTTCAACTGTAAAACCCCAAAACATGATTCAGATCAAATTCCCCGAGAAACTGGAAGTCCGTACCCTGAAATAATTGTAGATTGTTAATAAATTATGTCATCATTACTGCAAAAATCAAATCTATG